AACCGAATATCGCAGGATGGACAGTGGGACGACTTTGTACACGGCGGTAAATTGAATTAAGTTCCAAATTGTTTTGGACGGCAATCAATAGCGTCGTCTCACGGGGCGAGAGGAGCGGGGGCGCTGTGGAGTTTCCCTGGCGGAGGCCGAACTTCAGCGCGGCCAGTTTCCGTATCCGATTTGGGAAGCCAAAGGGGGAAAAGTCGGGACGGCGCTGTTGCATTTTACCAAGGTGAAACTGGCCGTTTTGTTTGACGTATTTAGTTAACTTTAGAGATTCGCGAAAGGTGTGCTGGAAATTTTACGCACTTGGCAACCGGTGAGTACATTTTTCCCGATTTAAAGCGCTTAAACGCTGTTCTTTTCTGAAGCTAGCATGGGGAGCAACAGGTTTCCCAGCGACGATCGCGATCCACTTTATCAACCCAGGCTTTGGCAAGTGTCGCAGTATACAGGAACAGCCCGAATCTGCGTGCGTCGCGATATACAGGAACAGTCCGAATCTGCGTGTGTCGCAGTATACAGAAACTGTCCGAATCTACGTGTGCCGCGATATACAGCAACAGAACAGTCCGAATCTGCGTGTGTCGCGATATGCAGGAACCGTCCGAACCTGCGCCGGACGCGAGTGGCTTGGTTTCAAGTTGTGAAATTTAAACAAAGGAAGACATGCGGAGATCCCGCGTTTATAAGCTAATAACTTTAATTTATGGATCACTTTCAGCCAGCTGGCTCCTCGTACAGTGCTCGGATTGATGAGCTTTATTTACGAGAACTAGCATAGCCTGTTGACTAGTTAGTTAGCTAGCTAGCAAGCGAGCTAATTTGCCAGCGACTGAAGTACCCCTCTTTGCGGCGAGTAAAGCTGCTTTCACACTGGACGCGAAACGAATTTTTCGCAGGACAGATTACATTCGAAGTCAATGCGTTTCGCGTGTATTCGCGTCTTTGCATTGACTTTGAATGCGATCTGCTGTGCGAAAAATTCGTTTTGCGTCCGGTGTGAAAGCGGCTTCAGGATAGTTCGCTGTCCAGGTAATGAGCTGGTCATTCATCACTGGGTTGCATTAACGTTAGCTAATGAACTTACTGTACAACTGCTTGTTGGCTGCTAGTGTTAAACTTAAGTTGCCGTTACCCTCCTGTTTTTTACTCAATAATATTGGCTAACGTTAGCTGGTGGTGATGGGTATTTTTGCCGTTTATTTCTGGCTGTGTTGAGTTTAACGTTGTCGTTGCAGAAGTGCAATCTTGAGTTTATGCAGAAAACAATTTGGCTCTCGTATCGGTCGGTAGAGTTGTTTGGTTCACCTTGCGGTTGACTTTGCTGCTTGCGCCACCTGGTTATCATTGCGGAGCCGTCAATAAGTAACATGAAATTCAGTAACTAACCTGAATTTCAATAACTAACATGAAGCCATCTTGCGTGTCCTGAATCTGTGTCCACTGTCAGTTTGTGACCAAAGATACTCTGCTGCTGCGCTGAATTTACCCTTAAGCTTTCAGTGTGTTTTATTTTCCCCGGAAAATATGGTGACCAGGCTTACCTAGCGAACAATAATTTCACTCGTGTGTTCCGCTACTCGGTGAAGTTAGTATTTTTATGAAGGGAGTAACCTCAGGTAACTGGCTTATTTCTCTCGTCTGGTCGGTCGGGGCGTGATCTGCGGGATGTGGTGCGACTGTAAGGTGTGATTCTGCATTCACTGATAAACCTGTTACTTTAAGTTGTGTAAACGTTACCTACACCAGGTGAGGTACGCTTTGGTGTTTGAAAACCCAGCTAGACTGCGTCACTCGCACCATTTTAAGAACATTATCAGTTTATCAGAAAATACCCAGTTGAGATCCAGTATCATGTGAACAATTCTGGACCGCACTATCGCCCATTCTTATCTCAAACTTAGAGTCGTCTGAGTTTCGGCTTGAGAACCTGCTTGCTCAAAGGTATGCGGTATCCTCCAGCCGATGTCCATTTACCCCATGAAATATGTCGGGAGTGTTAAATCGATCTTATGAATTGAGATCAAGAGGGTTGTTTATTTCCATCTCCGCGATCGAAATTATTGTGTGTAATGTTGTTAAATTGAGTGTTGGTGGTGGGGGTAGAGTTTATTATAGAGCAGATGTGTACTCCTGTCCATGTAGAATGGGTGTTTATGTCTTAGTGGTAACTGAGTCAAAATTTTATGGCTATTTGCATGGGTCATCATCTAGGGTGATCTAAATGAGCTAGCGAAAAATGGCAAATTATGAATCTTTCAATGGTTTTAACAAATCATTGGTCAGAAAATTGACAAGCATGTAAAGAAATGGATAAAGTAACTTCCTAAGGGATAGTTTTCCCCTTTGATGTGCTTTTAAACTTTCTGGGTAAATTTGAGGGCATCTTTTTCAGAAAGATGGTGGGGAATCTGATCATTCCTCTCTTGGAAACAACTTTCAGTTGAAGGAAGCCAGCCTTTCTGTGATATTCTATTGCACTTCAAAGCTTTAAATGACCTTTCACATTGAAGCAGCTTTTTGCATTTTCCCGGATGATTCACAGCCGCTAAAGTTAATGAGCAAATAGTAGCGCAGTAGGTCTCAGGGGTACTGATTCAGCGGGATGCGATTTCCAAGGCATTATTACCATTTCAGAAAATATCGCGGTTATCATAGTATGCGGTATATCAATTAAAAATCATTCTAATTTTACAAAGATCTTTTCAGGAATAGAAATAGGGGTTTTTGCCTGAACAGAAGCCTGATATGACCTAAAATGTCCTGTAAAGATGTGGAGATAAAGCCGGCTTTCCACTGAATGCAAAATACATATTTGTTTTTTTTAAATGAGAAAAAAATTGAGAAAGCTGCACATTTTCCATTTGAACGAAAGAAGTGGCTGGAGGGATAACATTGCAGTACTTCATAACAAAACTATTTTCATTAGATATTAAATCAAACTGTTCTTCCTGTTGAACAAAACAAAGAGAGATGGAACTTTTGCAACGGTTTTCCCGAGACTGCAATATTTCTTGATTTAATGTCGGGCCAGATTGTGATGAAGTGTGTGCACATTGAGATTTCTTGGGCTGAGTCTTAACCACTGAGGAGACTGCGGTGCCAACATCATTACCATAGTTCAGCCACCGGCATGCTAAAGCATCCTGCTAAATTGCTTGTTCTAAAAACACCAGCAAATTACTACAGTGTTAACTAGAAGGGCAGCGGGCACTCGGTAGAGTATACTACTCCGCCACGGCACTTGTTTGACTGATCGCGGTCAAAATCAGTAGGGTCCATCATTGATGTAATAGCGACCCACCAACAAAATTTCAGAGATATCCGTTCATTACTCTTTGAGTTGTCTTGTACACCAACAGATAGGCAGACAAACCAACGCCGGCAAAGACATCACCTCCTTGGCGGGGGTAACTAGCCCTGGCCGAAAAATGTGACACAATTTGGACTGCAAACATATCAGAACTAATGGCTGTAATGTCAGCAAAGGACATGCAATCAAGCTCTTACGAATTCAGTTGCGCTGCCTCGACTATCAATTCCTTTTCTGGAAATGATCGTTGCGAGTGTAGAACGGCAATACAAAATAATAGCTACAGCACAAAGGCGATCATTTTCTTTATTTGCTATACTAAGGCGGAAACAGTTTGTTGAAGCACTTATTTGATTTTTATATGATTGTATAATTTGCCAGTTTTGCAGTTTACAAGCAGCAGTTATAATTATATATGTCACTGGAAGTATTCTTGGCCTGGAAGAGCATTACTTTCATCCTGACACAGAAGAATGCTTTTCATTGATTCACAACAAATTTTGTATTCTGATTCATAATTAGTTTTTAAACATGCATCAGAGAGCTCTGCTAGTCAGCAGCTTACAGTTCTACTTCATATCTGAGGAATCTTAGCAATAGCTGTGCTTACTTGCAGAGAAAACTTTAGTGAAAGAGGGAAAATTAGTTCTATATGTACTTGTGAGATGTCCCATAATTGAACAAATATCTGTTCTTTAACTCTTCAAATATATTGAATATCAAGCTCAGTCTGAATGCACACCCTGACTTCAAACATTTACATGTTGTTTGTTGGGTGTTAGTCACAGAAAAATTGGGCATATTGATCTGCTCATATGGATGTTGTTCTCAAAGATGAGCGAATGATTGGAGTTCTCCTTCTTTTCGCCTATGGATGCATCTGCAACAGTATGCTAGTCGAGTCGAACCATATAAGGCAGGAAATTTCCCTGCCTTAAAAGTAATGAAAATGTCTTCTGTTCTCACTAACTTGACATGGACAAAATCATCAAGTTAACCCCTTAAACTCAAATTTTTCATTTAAGTTTTATCTTAAGTAGGTTCAGTCAGAAAAGGCATTTTAATATTGTAGGGCAATGTCACACACACGTTCTCTATCTGCTGGTTCGCTGATGCTACATCACGTTTATATACAGAGAAATATTCAATCCCAGCACACCACACTTTTCTGGCCACGACATTACATCAGATGGAAACTATTGAGATGTTGTACACAAATTTGTGCACATTTCCCTGTAATTCAGCAGGACATATTTGGGATCATTAGAAACCTTGGGATCTCCACTAGAATTTAAATTAGGTCTGAAGTTCCACAGGTTTGAATACAGCAGCTGCATTTGACGGACCCGTATATGGGTGTGTAGTTTTTATGGGGATAAACTGTTCATGCCAGTACTATTATTACTGTTATTATTAGGACTTTTAAGATAAGATGGAGATTTTAAGATACACTTTATTGAACCCTGTGGGGTAATTCGTCCTCTGCATTTGACCCGTCCTATAGTTAGGAGCAGTGGGCAGCCACAGAGCAGCGCCCGGGGGCCAACTCCAGTTCTAAAGCCAGTTCATTGGTCAGGGGTACTGGCAGGAATGTTCCTATAATGCATTTTTTTCTGGGTGGCGGAAACCGGAGTACCCGGAGGAAACCCATGCGAACCCTTGCAAACTCCACACAGAAAGACGCTGGCCGGCCAGGGCTCGAACCCGGAACCACCTCATTGAAAGTCAATGGTGCTAAGCACTGTGCCGCCAGGCTGCCGATAGTGATCATTATTAAAGAACGAGATGAGAGGCATAAAAAAACCAACAGCAACCACATCATTTAATACTGTAGATTTTAGCTCCCGCTGCTCGCAGTGCGGGAGCTATGGTATCGGGGCTCCGTGCGTGTGTGCGTGTGTGTGTGTGTGTGTGTGTGTGCGTGTGTGCGTGCGTGCGTCAACACATTTTGCTGTATCTCATCAACTATTTCTGTTACAGGCTCCTAATTTTTACTGGACATGCATCTCATAAAGGCCTACAAATGATGTGCCTAAAGGTGACCTTGGCCTATTTTTCAAGGTCACTGGCCTAAAAATATCACCAGAAATTTCGACATTTTGCTTTATCTCATCAACTATTTCAGTTACAGGCTCCTAATTTTTATTAGACATGCATCTCATAAAGTCCTACAAATGACGTGCCTAAACGTGACCTTGGCCTATTTTTTCAAGGTCACTGGCCTAAAAATATTACCAAAAACTTCCACAATTTGCTTTATCTTATCAACATTTTCAGTTACAGGCTCCTAATTAGCTCCTGCCACCCAAGTGGCACGGGAGCTATGGTATCGGGCCCCATCCATGCGTGCGTCCGTCAACAAAAACTTTGACATTTTGTTTATCGTAACGGCGGGAGCTTCTGGGGCCGCCAGTGCCCTATATTAACACTTTAGGTGAGCAAATGTACAAGGTATGATGACCATCGATTTTCATGCTGCAGTATACTGTGAAATTGGTAAACTGCTGCAGCCCTTCTGTGGAGTACATTTGTTCAATCCTCATTGATTTTTTGACCAATAATCTCTTAAGACCAGTTGCCCTGGGGTGTCCCACTGTCTCTGCTGATGGACCCTGTTCTTGCTCTCTCGCTCTCTCTCTCGCTGTCTCTGAGTCTTGTCCAGTTTCAATAATGTAGCAGGAGCGTAAAGGTACCAGTTTAGTCAGGCTGTGGGATCTCGTTACATCAGGGCTCATTTGGCCACTTCTTGGGCAGCAGCAGTTTGTTCAGGGTGCGTCTCTAGAAGTAACTGTCACATGACTGTGATGTGTTCATTTTCTCATTTCTCTGGGGAAATGTCCTCACTGTCTTCGCTCCAGAGAGTATGCTCGGGGGTTTTGCAGTGGTCTCTGACTTTAAAGTTTTACGGTTCCGGGACGCTAGATTGGCACAATTAAACCTCTTTAGTACCTTATAGCAATGGGCTCTTGTAATTGACTGATGAGCAGGATGGAGTTGGGCAGTGATTTGCATTTTCGCCTCGCTCTAGTGTTGTGGGACACTTGTCGGGGGCGTCTCAAGTTTCAGAATGTTAATTGGACGCAAGACTAGTCAATCCTGTTTTTTCCTCACTGTTGTGAATACCATTGAGCGATTGATCTGCCTGCTGTATTCCGAGTTGAAATGCATTGATCAGTCAAGGTAGGATCGACAGTTCTATGATTTTTTTTTTTTGGCTGGAATTTGCTTCTGAAAATTGGTAGGCTGTGTCCTAGCTAACTGTAAACAATATGGCTATAACTAAATTCTTTTTGAAAGCTATTTAAGGAAGCAAAAAAATTCTGTGAAAACATAACATGCAACATTTAAAAAAATGGATTGAGGTTTGGAAGAAGCAGGGAGTTGTGGAAATTGAAACATGCAGGTCTAACCATCCACAGCCGCTGTGCAATCCGCCCCGCTGCTGGCTCAGATCACACGCTGTACAGCCGTGGCTCACCATGTGTGCTTTGGGACGGGAACCCGCTCCCTTGTGCCCAGTTGGAGTCAGTCTTTTCCTATCTTATCAAATCAGCAAATTTCACATACATATTTCATCATGCCATCAAATTATGTGTGTTTGCCAAGAGTACCTTCCTGCTTGGACCTTGGGGAGGGATTTTTAACCCAGCACCAAATTTCCTAATGCTGACTCTAAATTATATCAGTCTTATTTACATTAAGATTTTAACTTTTAAAAAAAACAGAGCTGATACAAAGGGAAAGCCATGCCTCTCTCTCTCTTACGTGACCTTTGTCTCTCTCTCTCTCCTCCCCTCTCACTCTGTACCTCTGTTTTTCAGCCCAATAAAAGTCCTGCTCCCTCCGCTCGTGCCCCGCCTCTTCCTGCTCCTGTGTGTTTGTCCCTCTCCCTGACTCCGCCCCCCGTCTCCTGGCACGGCGCGGTACAGAGTCCATCTCACTGCGGCTGCAATCTGAAACTCTCAGTTTGTAAGTGAGCAGCGCTGGAATGTGATGTCACTGGCTCAGGAGAGATAACGGTCCTGATCTGTTTCTCTTCTCCTGAGACGGGCCAACCCTCCCCCGCTCCCAGCCCCACAGGCTTATTCTGGGCATATGGGGGTCAGGACTGCTGCATCGTGAGAAACGGGTTCTAGGTTAGAGTCCCAATTCTCGTGCTCGGTTCATGTTTGTTACGGTTTCGTTTTTGGACCTCAAGTTTTCTCCTGCAGGCCAGAGATATGCCTGCTTCTGTACTAACGGTGAAATTTTAATTATGATGTCAAATAAAGTGGTAGCGAATAAATTTACGCTGCCTGGGCAAGAAGTAGCAAACGTTAATATTTCATTGTACGCCTTTAGATTATGGTGCGTATTTATCGTGGCGTTGTTTTGACTACCTATTTATTTTCGTCATGGGTTGCGTTTATTTTTGGCTGAGACCTTGCATTGATGACGGCGGAGTTGAACCACTCTGTACAGACTTCTCCAGCACGTCCCAAAGACGTTCACTGGGGTTAATAATGCACGGGACAGTTCTTCACCCAATTCCAGTGATTTCAGTGTCTCCTTCGTTGTTTTCTTTGCTGTGACAACTAGTGACAGCTCCACTGACTGTGTCTAATACTGTGACATTCTTACTGTAACTGTTCTAATGGGAATCAGATCAATTTTGCTGTGAAGGTCGTGGTGTGTAAAATGGCATCTTATTTGTTCTGGTGACATTATGACCGCTCCTGAAGCACCACCTTCGGACCGAACTTCATTTTTCAAACAGTTCTTCTGGGAACCTCGTAAAATTTGTTGTGCACATTCCTGATGCCTACAGTAGTTTCCCTGTTGATTTTCTGTACCCTATAACCTTTCCTGTAGCCCCAACAGAAGGTAAAATTATCAGGAAAAATGTTAGACTTTGGGGGAGATGTCCTGCACCAATGGCATTTGTCCGGGTCAGAACTGGATCTTGTCATTTTGACGCGAGGGTGTCTGTGGGCAGGTTCAAGTTTTGTTCAAAAATTCCTTTATTATAGTAAATTTATCCAATTATTGTTGATCCTGTGTATCTCTTCAGGCCTGTGCAGACTGACGTTTGAAAGTGAACAAGTCACAGTTTTTCAGAGTCAAAAGCAGATCCAGTGAGACTGATCTTCTGAAGTGAAGAGCCGGTGACTGACTGCTCCAGTCGTGGGTGGTGTGAAGGTTTAATAGTGAGCACAGTAAATAGAGAAGGTCGCTCGGGCCAGTCGTTACATGTTTACAGTACAGGTCTGTCCTGTCCCGGTATGTGATTGACACTCCAGGAGACGTTCACTTTTCACAATAACACGACTTCGCCTTTCCGTTGCGCAACACTGTTAGCAGTCTGTGACACTCCAGCTGGTTACATGGATTCTGTTCTTGCAGTGACTGGCATTTGTAGTCGTTAAATTTGCGATTAACGTTTCTAAAACCTTTAAACACCTGCCAATGGCGCCGCTTGGACAGTTTTTGTAGGTGTCTTTTGGTTTGTGTAAAAACCCCTCCGTTGAATCGCTAGTTTGCGGTTTTCGTCCTGAGGACACAACCGTACACCTGTGCGTCCTGAAACCGCTGCACTTTCACACACATCGCCCGTCTTTCGCAACTATTTGCGCAATAACGCAGCGCTCGGTGAGCTCTGTGGTGCAAAATATTTACTGTGTTCAAATCCGCCATCGTGCACTGATTGTGGTCTAGATTCACTCACCCCCCTCCTCCACACACACACACACACACACACACACACACACACACACACACACACACACACACACACCATTATGGGAATTCACTTTGTGAAAACCACTAATGAAATGATATTTTATTGTCACTTTCCTCTCTGGTACCACAGAGGGAGATGGTGTCAGGTGAGAGCTGTAAAGTGTCCGTATGTTTGAATTACCCACTCCTCTGATCCAGAGCTGCTCTCCCGGGGGGGATGGGGGGGGGATGGGGGGCTTTAATTCCGCGCTTGGCGTCTGCTCCCTCCCTAAAAGCCGCGACCGGGAGGCCCGATGAGGCTTAAGCCCGTGTGCAGCAGATGGTCGTGGCCCAGATTTGGTGTTCATCAGCCCTGTTTGTCGGTAGATGGAGGGATTGGGGGTGTCGGGCAGCGAGGCCCAGCTCGATTATCCCCGGAGCCCTGGGGTGGGTCGGGGAAGTTTGCGGGTCGGTTTCTGTGAGTTATTTGGCGTTGGTTTGCAGCGAGCTGCTTGATCAGGCTCTGCCCTCTCAGGTAACATAGTGCTGTGGCGTTGTGGTCAGGAAGTTAAGTGAATATTTCTACTGCAAGCGCACAACATTGAGAGAATTTTGTGTGTGCGCTGGGTTTGCTGTGGTTGAAGGCATTCGCTGGGAGGCGGCAGTTCTTGGAAACGTGACGTGGTTTGTGGCAGTGCTGGGGTCAGTGCTGAGTTTGCCGGCAGAATCCTGACCTTTTAATACATGACTACTCTGGACTTGTCCTTGTTTACATTCATTAGCAATCGGCTGATCTCAGCAGCTCAGCCGCAGATGAGGCAGCAGATTTGCCAGTTTGTACTTGGATTGCATTATGATTCTTTGCATTTTTGTGCTCTAAATTCTACAAAATAAATTTCCTCTGTTAGGCTTCCTGTAAGACGAGCCATTTCCCACTCGTTTCAAATGATTTTAAGAATTTCTTTCTCTTTGCATTTAAGGCTAGTTTGATTAGCTTTGCAAGAAATATTCCACTTAAAATGTATGCCTTTTTTTGCTTTAAACTAAATCAAGTGCCA